TCTTGCAAACTGCGACCATCACCAGCAGCCACAACAGAAACACAAAGCAAACTCCAAAGCCACCACAGAAGATGTTAAACCACGTGGAAACACCAATACCTGAGTCCCTTCTTAGGCAAAGTGTTCCTATCAAGGTGTGGGTCGCTGCAGAAAAGTTAAAAGAAAAGAACTTCAGAGAAGAACAACAGGGAAGGAGTCAGATGAGGACGAAGGACGCACAAACATCTGCATCACCTTTTCTGAGGAAAAGGTGCTGGGGCCTCCCTGCAGGAACATGCACAGACCTCCTCAGCAGGTGGGGTTTGCACAAACATGCAGCTGCTGCCATGCCAAGGAACCACAGCTCTTCACAACCTCACTGCACTGTTTCTCCTACCCACAATGAACAAAAATGGCTCTCTAAACATCAAATGGGTGTTTAAAAACACACTTTTCAGCAGGCTATTGGTAAAACCTCATGGGAATATTCTAGTCCAAACCACCTTCCCATCATTTCTTTCAGCAGACACCCTTTAGGGATTGCCCCTAATTACTGTAAATAGGTATTGAGCCCAGACTGTTAAAATTTCCAAATCTTAGCCTAAGTTCCATTAGCAAAGTAAAACGGACCGATCAGTTGCCCAAAACGCAACTATTTCAGTTTATGTTTTTACAACTGACAAGCACAGCCTGTTAATTTGTTTTTAAAGAAAATACCCCTGTGGTTAAGTAAATTAATTAAATGACAACCCTTATAGCTAAGTTACAGCACAGGACTGGGATACAAATTACATCAGTGAGAAAAAGTGAGCTTGAATGTTTAGATTCGTGTCATCTTTTCCTAACTTTAACATTCATTTGTACAAGAATGACTGTGAAGTACCAAAGTACTTGGAAAACACCCATGAGCCAAGCTGCAGTAAGAGACTGACAACACTGAACGACACAGGGACTTCACAACAAAAGGGACAGGCCAGAAAGGCAGTGGGAAAAGCAGCATGCCAGAGGAATGCTGAAATGCTAGTGAGAGTTTAGATTCGTAGGGAAAAAAAAAAGGGCTTGACTTCCAAATTGCCTTTGGCAAAGATAAGAAGGGTGGGTTAAAAAGAGCCCCCCAAACCAAAGGGCATCCCAGAAATGAGAGCAACACCAGAAACATGCCAACTGTGCTGCATGCCACTCTCCAGATTGCTCTGGGTGGGGAGATGGGTGTTTGCAGGGACTCTCACTGGCATGTCTTGGTGTCAGTTCACACCTGGATGATGAACACAACAGAGCACTGAACTGAGCACAGTCTGGCACAAAACAATTTGCTTCACTGAGATGGGCAACAAAACCTGCAGCCTTGAGCATACTCCTGTCCTGAGACAGCATTACCTGTCCTGTCTCCTGGGCAAAGTATTTCGGCAGAATTTGGGGCTAGCAGCAGGGGAGGAAAGAGGGCTAGAAAGAGCAGTCCAACAAGACAGAAAACAAGAGAAGAAGGAGTATTAGAATGAAAAGATGAAGCAACAAAAAGGAATTATAATAAAACACAAACAGAACCCCAAACTGTCAGAACATTACATTCAGGTGCAATTTTCTCCATTGAGACACAGCTACAAAAATCTTGCTACCTGAACTCATCACTACACACCAGGACACAGCTGATTTCCAGGGCTTGGAAGGGTTCTGCTTTCATCTACAAGAGGTCCCTCGGAGACCTGCAGAGCTCAGCCCAGTGCCAGCTCAGTGTGGCACCGATGCAGCTCTGATACTGAAAAGCCCTGCTCCCTCCCTCCTGCTCAGCCTCCTCCCAGTGCCACCTGTGCCCACACAGGTACCACTGAACCTCTTTGTGCACAGAGCTGGGCACCTGATCAGTCTGAAATACAATCCAGATGATTGCTCTTCACCTGGATCCAGCTTCCAACAGGATTCACTAAGCATCCACATGAATGCTTGTACTGAAATATTGCAGTGAACAACTGGAGATAGGACAAGACAGCAGGGAGAGGATGAGAAGGGATCAAGTGACTGCAGACATGGGCACTTGCTTTTCAGCATCACCCCCAGTTTGAAAGCAATCAAATTCTACAATCAAAAAGTTTAACAGGAAACAGTTGACTTTTCAAATCAAAACTGGAAGGTTTTTAAAAATACCACTACCAGCTCAATTAAAAGTGGATCTTTGGAAGGATCTGGTAGCAAAAAAAAGTCACATTGGCTGCGACAGCAAAATAAAAACCTGTTCTGAACCCATCCTCCTGCTCTGAACTGGGCTCCTTTCTGGGAATAACTTATCTGTATATTCTAGTCCAGGAGCAGCCTGCACTGTCTGCTCAGAGGCATTACCTGATCTGTATCTGCAGCACTGGCTGCTGCTGCCAGGAGTTCATTCCCACTCGAGATACAAACACACGGAAAGAAGAGAGAAACCCACCAACCTTTCAGACAGCGCGGTCTTAACGCTGCTGGTCCTGACGAAGGGAGCCAGAGAATCGTCCTTGGAGGCTGGGATCAAGCCACTGGAGGAGTTGTGGCTCAGCCCGCCCCCGCTGCTCAGGGAGATGTCGATGGACTCGCAGCTGGTGTGCAGGCTGCTGACAGACTGGTACCCAAGGCCATCCTTGCTAACTGCAGAGGAGCTGCTGGCGTTGGTGCCCCACGTCAGGCTGTTGGAAGGAGCCGAGTGGGCAGAGCTGGGGCTGGAAGCCAGTGGAGACTGGTTGAGATCTGTGTTTTTACCATAGAGGGGACTGCTGCCCCCACTGCTCAGCACACCACTGCCAGACGGGGAGTCAAGGTTACCCTGCTGGCTCATGGTAGCATGAGGGTTGGAGATGACTACTGAGTTTTTCATATTTTCAGCTGTTGTGATGGGAACTTGTTTACTAGGCTTGCCACCAAATAGTCTGTAAAAAAGAAGACAGCATGAAAAATACATAAAATGTAAGCACAAGGATATCTTCTATTTCATCTTAGCTTCAGAAAACCAGCACTGAGTACATGATCCTAGATTGAACATAAGCAACTCTACATTTATAATCTCCTTGTGTTCACTGTCCCTTTCAATGAAGCCCAGAGGAAATTACAACAGCATCAAACCTATCTCAGGTGTGTCACCTCTGAATCAACCAATACTTCCACAAAGCTAAAATACAGCCTCACAGAACTGACATACAACCACATCCTCTTCTGCTCCTTAAGGAAAAAGGGCACCAGAGAAACAATCTGAAGGATGGAATACTAGAGATTGGAAGCTTGCTGACCAGGTAAATTCTGCACAAATCACCAAATGCTCCTCACAGAAGCAGCTTTTGCTGGGATGCAACACTGAACTCATACCAAACGTAGCCTTGCCTCATTCCATGAGCCAAGCTGGCTGGGAACAGTATTTTTTAGTGGAGAATGTGATGTTACCTGCTTTTTGGCACCTGGAATGGGCTAGTAAAAAGCTAGGTGAGTTCCAGAAGTCGAGGAGGCTGACCACAGCATCGCTGCTGCCTGTGATGCAGCTCATGCCAAGGAAGCAAAGACCCCAGTGCCCTCAAACACAGTCAATGGGAAACCTCTCAGAAGTGCCCAAGTGCCTCAGTAGTAAACATGCTTCAGACTAAATTATCAATCATTCCAAAACTGATCTTCAGAATTAGGAAAGAAGCATTATCTTCCACTCCAGCTTCAAACACCCACCCCAAAGCACTGCTTTTGTTTCTGTCTCTTGGCTCCTGTAACTACATTTGGAACCATAGTTTTCCTCACACACACCTGTATAGATTTGCTTTTTTATCATTCACTGTGGATGAAACCTTTCAGAATAGAGGACTACAGCACTTACACACAAGTGCTCCTGAAGACTTAGGGGTGCACCAGGCAGAACTTTCTGCTTTGGAGCATGCCCAGGTTGTTGGACACTAAGTCACCTTGTCCATCACTTCCCAGGAACAGGCTGTGTTAGAGCTGGGCACCTGCAGCACCTGGAGCAAGCCCACATTTGAAAAGAAAGAGCTCCTGCTGCCCAGCTATAGCAGGGAGAGGGAAGAGTGGACCCAAGGAGCTGTGAAACCATCAAGCTGATGTTGCTTCTCATTCCCAGAGCTCGGGAGGAGAAGCTGATCTGCTTCCCTTCCTCTCCAAAGACTTATTTTTGGGTTTAAGTAGTCAAGAGGCCGCCACATGGGAGTTTTGGGCAGCAGCAGGAGGAAGCCTTGCTAGGGCCCAGCTCTGGTCAGCAGGGGTGGAATGATGCTGTGAATGGCCCAGCTGCAGCACCCAGGCTGCACAGGTGCTTCCTGCAGCTCCAGTGCATGGAATACACCTGGGCTGGGCAGGTACGTACTGGCCACAGGGCACCTGGACAACACCTCCAACTGAGAAGGCAGGTTCACATCAGCCACAAGGAAGAAATCCTTCCCTGGCAGGGTGGCAGGCCCTGGCACAGGTGCCCAGGGAAGCTGTGGCTGCCCTGGATCCCTGGCAGTGCCCAAGGCCAGGCTGGGGGGGGCTTTGAATGAGCTGGGATAGTGGAAGGACTCTCTGCCCATGGCAGGGCAATCAGAATAAAATGATTTTCAGGGTCCCTTCTGACCCAAACCAGTCCATGATTCCATGGCACTCAGCAGCTACACCAGCTCAGTGCATTCCCCAGGGTATTCCTGTGCCAGAGCACACATCCTCCTCAGCTGCACTGGGGAAGCCATGCCTAAAGAAAGCATTCCAGAGCTTAAAAAACCCCAAACACCCACACAACTGTTTATAGGCTGTTTTTAAGCTATGCCCTGTTTATGACAACATGGAAGTTACATATATTTGTGAACTTATAGGTAAGTCTGTACCATTACAAAGGTATGGGTACTAGTTCACTGTGTAGCGCCAAAAAAAATACAGGGCCAAGAGGAAATATGCAAAAAACAATGTCTGCAACTCAACTACAAAAATTAAGCTCAAAATCTTCTTTACTGTCATCCTAGAAATTAGTAATAAGCAGACGAGGCCCAATTCAACTCTGATGTATTTCAACACATGACAACTTTGACAGGCTGGTGAAAATTCAAGTGTGAAATTGCAAATCAAATGAAGGAACAGTTAAATTGAGCCTCAGTGTCTGCTCTTTGAAGTTCCGTGTATTTCTAATGTATTTCAATTACACAGCCAGCAATGCAGCTTTTCAGTAATAAAAAGTTCCCAATCACAATCCCACCAGTGTGCCTGAGGCACACTGAAATCACTGAAAATCTGCATTTCCCATTGTGTATCCTATAGAAGTGAAAGGCCTACTGGAGTTTTGAACTAGCTACTGATGAAAATTACACGTTCCAAAGTACACAGCTTATCTATTGTTAAGCAGGTACAAAATAAAGTATCTTCAATTACCCTCACACAGACTCTTCAAATAAAACCACCCATCTAAAAACAGTTCACAGCATCAGCCTAAGCTGCCATCACAGCCATTATGCTTGCACTGGTGCTTCAGATGGAATGGGGCTTTCTCACATCACTGGAAGCAGGATGATGGAGCATAACTGTATGGGTAATATGGGCGTCACGACAAAATGAAATGCAAAACACTGCAACTTGAAACACACAAGCTACTCAAATTCAGTTGAAAAATAATTTTAACAGAACTTTTCACCAATATCAAGGCTCTGATATACACTGCATCAACAATCAGCTCCTCACTAACTATTTGTTAATGTTAGTGTGTGGGGTACTCTTGGAGATATACAAGACAGGATTTTTGTCCAAAAAATAGTATTAAATAAGAAAATTTAACCCAGCTTAGACAGCAATTTTATTTAGGGTTCATCTTCACAGGCTAAAATGTTGAGTCTTGCAACATACTGGGCTAATCCACACAAGCTACAATAGTTTGCTTTGGGTGAATCTAAGCCTGGCAGGTCAATGCCGCTGTCATAATGAAAATCTGAGATAACCCTCCAGTTGTTGGTTTATTTGATCCACGACTGGAATATTTCCAGGTTTGTTACATATACATCTGTGCAAGAACTCCTCAGTAACCTTCAGGTAAGAAAATTCTTATATCTGTGATATCTGCACAGATGAGAGCCTCCAGGTATGATTTCTGCAACAAGGTGACTCAAACTGTAACTGCCAAAGCTTCTGCCAGACAGGTTTGGCTTTTTCCCTGAACGCTGGATTTCTGCTGCTGTCGCATGACGCCCTATGTATCCACGACGCTGGCCAAGCTGTTTGTGTGAAATTCAATGTAAATACCGAGACCTTGAACTAAGCCACTGAATAGAAAGTGCTGCACCGGGGCCAGCCAGGCCGGGCTGGCAGTGCTGCTCATCGAGCTCCCACCAACACCAGTGCAGAACGGAGGAATTTGTGCCTACCTGCGCAGGGTGGGAGAGGCCACATCGGGGTACTTGACTCCTTGCTGGTGGGTACTCTGAGCTCCGCTAGCAGCAGGCTGTGATGCAGGGTTCACTTTAACAGAATTACATGAAGCCACGCTTTCGTTGTCAGACGAAATCCCTTTCTCTTTATCAGTCTGATTGACTAATCCTGGCAGAGAGCTTCCAAGGATTACCTTGGCAGGCTCTCTGATTTTAGGGACAGGCAACCCAGCTGACTTGCTGCTTATGTTGGAGTCTATGCTACTCGTGCTAGATCTATTCCCAGCTCCACTTCTGCTACTGGATTTACTGGGCCGGGGCAAGCTACGGTACTGGAGATTAGTTCGTGCACTAAGTGCTAAGTAGCCATCATCCTGGTTCTGGGAGCCATCAACACTAGTCTTCCGACCAGTGGTCCTACCCATGAGTCCAGATGACTTGGGGATCTTTCCCAAGGTAGCCGATCTACTGGTGAGAGTTGCCCCACTGGCAGTGATTATGGTCATGCCTACGGCTGACCCGCTCTGTTTCTTAAATCCAAATGCATTAGCATTAGCAGCAGCTGTCCTAGAGTTACTTGTGGGAAGCTTTTTGGATTCATCACCACTGCTGCGTCCTGCATCTGATGGGGAACGTTTAACATGTCCAGCTTTAGGAGATAGTCTACCCTTTTCTGATACCTTGGCGTCATCAGTTTTCCCTACAAAAATAGAAAAAGAATTCTAATATTTAATGACTTGAAAACATCAAGCAAATGATGAAAGTCAAAGCAGCATGAAAAGCAAAAGCGCGTTAGCCACTGCAGTGCGGTTCAAAGTTATGATCGAGTCTGCACTGAGCTTCCATGCCACTCTAGTGAGTTACACATGCAGACTTGCCAAAGAAAGTGTGTGGTGCCTTTGCCTTTGAGAATATGCAAAGCAGAACAGCCTCACATAATAGTGACAGATAAGAAAAAAAAGTTTCTCTCTGAAGCTACCACAGATCGATCGTTTCTATCATTACGCACTAGTAGTGTTAGGTTGATAGCATAATTTCCCTAAAAGGCATTGTTAAAGCATTTGTATTGTTCAAAACAGTATGTAACTTTAACTTTTTCATATACAATTGTGTACAAGACCTAATAAAAAGAGAGATATTAAATTATATTGCTTGGTTATGCAAATTCAACCAATTTTCATTCATACACCTGCAAGTGCTAAAATACACTTAAAATAAAATCCAGAAATCAGGTTTAGTATAAACAAACATGCTTGTTTAGTAAGGGGGGGGGAAAAAAATCTCCTCAACCATATATACTGTATGCTCTTGGTTAGCAGTGATTTTCAAAAACAGTGATTTTCAAAACTAAAATGATATTATTTGTTCCTCACACAGCAATACTGTGCCAAATAAATAGTTTGGCTTAAGACCAGAGTTTTTCATGAAAACAACTGGCAGGGTGTAATAATTTGAAATACACATTTTCAGCCAGAAATAGAAACGTGGACATACAAGATGCTGCTTAGGTTAAAGCAATGCCTAAAAATACAGCCAGGATTACCTGAAGTTCAGGTTCTGCCTCTGCAAAGTATTTAAACTGTTTTCACACCGAACACATTTCTGGCTTGTGTACACCCTCCGCCTTCTCTCACCTGTCCCAGGTGTCTTTAAGGTGCCTGAGGCGGTGGCAGGTTTGGGCCTCGGCGCGGTGATGCCGACCTGAGCGGACATGCCCCGCCGCCAGGAGCCCGTCTGGGCAATGACAGCGTTCTTCCGACCAGAAGTGCTTTTGTCGGACTCGTCCGACACATCCGAGGGGTTCCGCCGCCACTTGCAGCCCGGCTCCATCTTTATGCCGCTGTCAGATCCCCCGTCCGACTTCTTGACTTCATCGCCCGACCACAAGGAATTCCGCTCCACCTGGGAATGCTTCTCTGCGTCCGTCTAGGGCAGAGAAGGAATTGCAAGGCAACTTTCAGAGCAAGTCTTTCTTTTAAGAAGCCTCCTATGGAGGAACCATCACCCTGATTAATCAGCTCAGCAGTCATCTCTGAGTACCAACAAACATGACATGCTTTTGAGGAAGAAATGTCACAGCAAGAAGGTAACCCCAGCAATGACATGTTTTTTTTAATATGCTTTATAACAAAAACACAAAAAAACACAACAGCCACACTCCTTGGAATGAATAAAGGGGGGAAAAAACCCTACTTGATGTATAAAGGACAGATTCAGCTCCATGACATTTATAATCCTCCATCTCAAATTTCTGACAAACCCTTTTACTGCAATGCCAAAAATGCATTTCAAACCTGTGCAGCCAGCCTTCCTTTGTTCCTGCTGCTTTCTTATCTCTTGTCTGGCAATCTGATCTCCAGAGCATGAGGAGGCAGCTTTTGGAATAGATCTGAATATGTGGAATGCTCTTAAATCTAACCTAACATAGTAGAAGAACACCCAAGGACTGAAGAAAAACTTTCTAACAATACTTGAGACTGACTTCAATGCATAAATTACTTTTGTTTCTCTTGCAGACTGTTTCTTCCCCTATTCTTTGCACAGATTGATTGTTACCAGTCTCTTATGGAGAATTTTGCTAAGCTCAATATTAAATCGAAAAATTTCCCATTAGTAAACCTTTTCCAAAATCTCAGAAATGCTTACATTAAATACACTGCCCTATATATATGTGTATACTTTATACATACATGCATTAATATTTCCCACTGCTAACAATTACTCTTCTAGAATTCTATTCCTGTCAAATGCTGTTGATTAAATTTGGTGAATGTGGTAACATCACACCCAACCATGTTGTGATCAGGCACAAATGACAAATATCCACACATTTGACTGATCAGGATCAGAAATTCCCAGCTGAAGTGTTCTCCAAGCACCACAGCACCCTGAAAGGGACTGACAGTTCAGCACCTGCCTGCAGTTCCAAGCGCAGGCCGATGGCTTTTGGTGAGGCTTGGTGCCACCTGTCTGCCCTGCAGCCTCAGCAGAAGCTGAATGTGCTCAGAACTGTGCGGTAGGCAAAAGGAATCATTTATTTAAAAGGAAATTATTTTAAATATCCTAAAGCATTATAAAGCTCACAGTCTTTGTTCCTTTTGGATAAACAGAAAAACACAGCACAGAGAAGCTGTAAGATTATTTACCACGCTTTTCAGCTTTTAAGCTCCTAAAGAATGTTTTAAGTTTATGAATTTACCTATCAGATCACAGCATTAATATTAAAGAATTCAGAGGAACTGTGGTTGAATTTCCTCTGCTTTTTACTGTAACTATGTTTTTTTTTAAAGCCTGAAAAACTAGTTAAGCAATCAGTGTGTGAAAGCTGACACCACATATCACAATAGTCTCTCTTCAGTCAGGAAACAGGGCTTGGGTTATTTATCTACATATTGAGTCATGAGTCTAACCTGCATTTTGAATTATGGATTTAGGTAATATCATATACTTGTACTTTCCTTGTGCTTGTTTCCCTACCTCTCCACTCAAAGAGAGCAACCCCGTGTAGGCTTGAACGGATCTCTGCCTTCTAACTCCCTTCTCTTCCTGTGCCTGCCAGGTTTGGGGCAGCTGGGTCACCTTTCTGTTTCTGACCATCAGCAGGTGTGTAATAAATTCACAGTGTGACTGCTCCTATGTCCTGTGCCTCTCCAAAATCACTATTCCATGCAAACAGCTCCTACATTCACAAATCTTGGAAGAGAGCACAGGCAAAACGTACCAAATAATCAAGCAACAAAGCCACCTCAAAGACACCATTCCTCACGTGATCACCTCAGTATCTTGTTCCAATTCCTTGTCTGGAATTGTGTGTATGCACTGCTAATGTTCAAGAACAAGAAATACACCTGCCTGCTAGCAAAGACCTTATTTCAGTTTTAGTTGACTAGAAAATATTCCTATACCTTCTATTTCCCCTCCCCTAATCGGTAAGGTTAGTACAGCCAGTCTGCACAGAGAGAACAGCACTGCAAGAAATCCTCTCCACCTTTGCTCTCCTGCCTTTTATTCTACTACTGCTCCCACAGCCAAAGCTTTCCTGCAGCCTTTGAAATGCTGCACCTCCACCTCTGAAACCCTCTGGCCAGAGATGCCTCTGTTTAATGGTAAACACTGAGAACAGCACAGAAACATGACTAAGGACTCAAACCAAAACACAGTGAAACCTGGCTGGGGACTGCAGCAGAAACCCACCCACCCAGAGGGGTGAAAGTGGAAATACTGTGGCTGGAGGTCATGGCCAGACACAGCGAGCTGAGAGCAAAGCCTGAGCCAGGAGCAAACCACCAGCATTTCTCAACTCACTCAAAGTTTTTGTAAATCTGAAGCTGTGAACAGAACAAACCCATCTTTCCTGAAAAGATGTCTTATCCAACTGCTTAGGGAGGCTGCAGTTTTCTATTTAAAGGAACCCTTCTATCTTCCGATCTTTTTCCCATGACATGATTGAATTTGTTACTTGGTCTCTTTCTCCCATCTTATTTCACTTAAATAAGTTATTTTCAAATGCCCACCTAGGTCTTAATTTCTCCTAAAAGTATGCATATGATGTGACTTTAAAGGCACACTACATGTAGTACTGTGATAAAGGCAACTTATCTAATTCTGTGCAATAAAAAGGACAAATACTAGGGTGCCAAAACTCCTGTAACTACATTAAATGGTTTGGTACTTGGCATAATCACAGCAGGACATGGGAACGTGGCAAGGCAAATTCTGGTTCCCAGAAACAACGTGCAAGCATCTTCACTGCATTGCTATGAAAAGAGGATACAGCTATGAATGTCTCTGAAGACTGAGTTAATATCATATTTAAGTCCTGTTCCTCAAAGATGGGGAAACTGCAGCTTCTGGAATATGGGGCTCTCAACAGCCCTGAAAATCAGAGAGAAATCCCAACAGAGATTTTTTCCTACTGCAAATATGCCTTTCTTTGCAGAGATGATTCTGCCTGAGTTCCTGATTTTATCAGCACACACTGACATGTTCAGACTCTCTCCCTTTGATGTTGCTGCATTATTTGCTTGGACTCCCAGCTGCACATGTATTAGCTTCAAGCTCCCTCCTTCATTATCTGAAATCCAGCTTCTGTACCCTCTCTAAGAGATGTGACAGAATCACAGCAGCTCAAAAGCACCGACTGTGTAGGGGAACCAAAGCAAGGGACACCCTCAGAAGGAAAGTCCACATCCCTCTGCAAATTGTGCCAGTCCTGTGTGGAAGCAGCCTGGGGAAGGCACACCTGGGCCCTGGCTGTCACAGGGTCCTTCAGGAGGACAGGAAAGGTGTCTCTGCAGCATTCACTGCATCATGAGCTCTGAGGTCAGCCAAAAAATAACCCTGCAAGCCACGCATTTCAGCACTCCATTTCACTCCCTTGGCTGACAAGATTCAGGCAGTTTGTTCCACTGAAAATGAACTATTTTCTGGACAATAATTTCCAGATAACAGAACACTTGGAATAAAGATTGCCATTCATGAAAACTGAACAGAGAAGCAGGTCAGAGACACACATCACACCAAAAAACTGCAAACACCACTTGTACATTCTTGGCTCCCAGCTTCCTCTGCCAATAACCACGCTCCACTGCCTGAACAAGCTCCAGCTGCTTTTCTTCTGGTGTCTGTCTGCACCCTCTTGGATACTGTAATGGTTGTGGGGGAGGAAGAGGAGTTTGTCAACACAGATTTTGATCTCTCAGAGGTGTTTCCAAGAATCTGATCCACCAGTAGATAGAAGTCACATGAGGTTTTTTTTTTTTCCTCAGGTTAATGTTTAGTCACATCTCCCTAAGTTTTCCTTTTTCCCTCCCCAACAGGATTCAGTAACAATGGTCAAAAAATACTTCCAGTTGCCTGTCTTATTCTGAAAAACATGCTTGATAGATCTTAACTCCTCTCAGCTTGTATGGGCCTTGCATTGGCAGTTCCAGGTGCCTGTGCAGCCGCTGAGAGGCAAACAGAGGCTACCTGGAACCCCTTTGTGCAGGCTCAAAGATGCACTGCATGGCAAGGGAACAAACACTGCTCTGAGCCTGCACCTCAGTCTGGAGACACAGCAATACTTCACAGCAACCACAGGGCTCCCTCAACACTGATGCCAAAAACAGATTTAAGGACTGGAGGAGATTAACAGAGGGAAGGAACAGAGGAGCAGGTCACACCAACACCCCTCTGCTCTGCCAGGTCACCACAGCCCAGTGGCTGCAGCACACAGCACCCGAGCCCCTCCAGCAGCACCAGAACCAAGCTGGGCTTTTTAGTCCAAACAAAAATCTATGGAATTGGTAAAAAAAAAAATGCAGGTTGTATTAGTGCAAATCTCTGTGTTATGCAGTTTGTTTGGTCCATGAGAAACTGTCAGATGCCTTCACTTGTTCCACACTCTTTGGCTGTGCGGTGTCTGAGCACAAAGTGTACATGCATCCTGCTGATGGAGGCAAAGTTTATCCTCCCACGAAATGCTGGCAAACACAGAAAGCCTTCAATAACACACAGCTCTGGAAATTTAATAAAATCAATTTCATTTGCATAACATGCTTACATTTCTGATGAAAGTGTAAACAACCTTTGAACTTTGATGTTACTTTATTGTATTCTATTACTTAAAGGAAAAAGGTAAAACCGTTTCATATTCTCTATGAAAAACATAACACCATTTCATTCTATACATTTATACAGATATTTCAAAAATATCTATATAAAATCTGTTTTCTGTGCAGCAGTACCTCTAGGAAGACAAGACCCAATTGTTGTGACATCACCATGGCAGAGATGCCTTGGGTTCCACCCAGAGAGGAAATATTTGCAAATGCCATGGATGACAAGGTGGTTATTAGTGACACTGCCTATACTGAGGGCAGGCTGTGTGTTCAAGTTCAGCAACCTAAAACTGTTGCAGACATCTTTTATGGAAAACCCTTTCCTTAGGATTTTTCCTCCTGAGAAGCTGGGAAGCCTCAGGAACAAAATGTAAACAATGGTTATCTGCTGCTGTGGAATGCAACAGGTGCATCTGGGATTGGTCTCATGTTGGATGTTTGTAATTAATGGCCAATCACAGTCAGCTGGCTTGGACAGAGAGCCCGAGCCACAAACCTTTGCTATTCATGCCTTCTTTTTCTATTCTTAGCCAGCCTTCTGGTGAAATCCTTTCTTCTATTCTTTTAGTATAGCTTTAATATAATATACATCATAAAATAATAAATCAGCCTTCTGAAACATGGAATCAGATCCTCGTCTCTTCCCTCAACCAAGAAGCCCTGTGAACACGGGCACATAAAACAATTACACCTCCTGCACAGAGAACACAACAAATACCAATGTTAGCTGAATAAAGCAAGGCTCTCACCTGTGCATCTAAGTTCTTGCGGGAGGAGGCAGGAGTGTTGGCATAGGAGCTGATGGAGGAGCTGGTGTTAATGTCATCCGTGCTGAGATTGTCTATGGTGTCACTGATCCCGCTGCTGACAGAGCTGCTGTCGTCCCAGCTGGAGAAAAAGCGCAGCAGAGGGACAAAACAAGGGTCAAAACACAAGACATCATTCAAAAGGAAGACTGCATTATTTCCACAACCCTTAGCCCATTTGTGGTGCCAGAAAGGCCAGGCCATGCCGTCACCAAGCCAAGGCACCAGTGGCACAGCTCTTCCTGACTCAGCTGAAACGTGTGTCTTTTCTGCTGAAATCCAAAGGAGCGGCATGAAGGAATATTAGCAGGGAATTTTTTCCTGGGGGGTGGGCAGGCCCTGGCACAGGGTGCCCAGAGCAGCTGTGGCTGCCCCTGCATCCCTGGCAGTGCCCAAGGCCAGGCTGGATGGGGCTTTGAGCCACCTGGGACAGTGGGAGGTGTCCCTGCCATGGCAGGGGGTGGAACAAGATGATCTTTAAGGTCTCTTCCACCCCAAACCATTCTGTGATTGTGGGATCTCCAAGCAGGCACAGCACTGGCTTGCCAAGCTGTAACACACAGGTGGAACTTAAAATGCAAGGAAAAACATTCACCCTGAAGCAACCTTTTGTACTCGGGTGCTCCACAGACCTGGATCTAACATCAACAGTATCACCAGCCTCAAAGAACTTCAGCAACTGCAAGTTCAGTCCTTCAGATGGCAAATAACCCTTCTGAGCTTCACTGCCCTTCTCAAGGAGAGAACTACTCAGGACTACCTTCTCCCAGCATGTGATAGCTTCACCATTTCCCAGTAAATGAGAAATGTCTCACTGCAAGTTTAGGACAAACAAAACACCAACAAAACAAAAACAGAACCAACGAAACAAAAAACCAACCAACGAAACAAAAAAAAGACCTTGCTAGAATCAATTTGAGTGTTAGAACAGAAAGACTCAAAATTATCTAAAAATGGAGTCAGATGCTCCAACCTGTAAAATGCCTGTAAAAGTTAGCTGCTCAAGGAAGAGATTTATATACTGGCTTACAAGAGCTCCATCTCCAACAACAATGAAGCTGGGACTGAAATATTACCCTGGAAGGGGGTCTATGAAGATATTTCAGTTCACTGGATAACTACTGTTGGAAATCTGGAAGTGTAAATACATATATCTATCGCATAGGTCATTTGCAAAAGGTTAAGAGCTCATCAACTGGCAGCTCACTAGCCATTTAAAACCTCAGCTTCAGATTTTGGGAGCTCCAGACTCTCCTCCCTGCTGCGTTTCTGTTTGCTTTACAAACTTGTAACAAAGACGTTGCAGAGAGCTTTCTGGCTGGGCAGTGAAAGCTTTACTCACAAATGAATATACTGAGCAGTTAACATTTGCATTTAAACCTGAACTGTCTTACCCTGTGATAGCAGAACTGTGCAAAGAAAGGCAAACTACCTCTGTTTGCTTGAACTTTATTCATAGCTTCACCACTGATTTGCTATAGCCTTTCTACATAAACCTTGCCAGCTTTGAAATGGAAAGCATTTCATTTTTTCCTACTTAGCACTACAAAACACCTTCCTGCATGACTTTTAATGTTGCTTTAACAATTTCAGTGCTTTTTCTTACCTGGGAGTGCTATGTTCCCCCACACCTGGCCTTTGAGGGACCTGAGCACAGCCTGAAGAGCAGAGCAATTTGCTGAACCACAAATGCGTGTGGCCACGCGTATCACAGGGCAAAATATTGGAAGCCACATTACTTCCAAATTTCAGTTCTGAAAACAGGTCCTATAACTGGTACTTATTTCTCTTTCCAAACCTATCACATAAAGCATTTAAAATTCCTAGGTAAGTCTACAAATAAGGTACCAAAATAGTTAAAAGAATCACTGAATAAAAAAATATGCTTCTTGTTTTCCAAAGTTTTGTGCAGCAACGAACTTATTTTCTATTTCTGAACCTATAAAAAATAACAATCATAACAGTAATAATATCATCACTGCCAATGCTTTTTGTGCTAAATAGTCTCGTTTCCTTCTTATGGAGATATGGCAGTGGGCAGAAAAAAAAAATTAAATACAATAATTTTTCTCTGTGTGACTCCCAGACCCATCTTCAACATATAGGAACTGAAACATTTCATTTTTGAGCACTCACAATTCCTAAACTACCATAGGCCCCAGTTAATCAGCACCTAAAGAATGTGTTTAATGTTAATCATAAGCAGTTTTTCTGCCATCAGGCAGTCCTGTTGGCTTCAGTTGGGCAATCTAAGGCATTATGAAAATATTTGAGTGCCCTTCTGAACTGGGACATGTGCCTGAGGACAAAGGTAGAAGCATGCACCTGAATACATTGATGTTGTGGCTTCCCTTCCTGTGTATCCTGGGCTTTAGGGCCTTTATGTTCTGGTGGAAACTATGAAATATGAACTATTCCAACTCTGCGTTTTCAAGCTTACTAATCTGTTAGTAAATTTAAAAAGATGAGCTGTTCTGAGGTCTGAGATAGGTGTCTGGACAGACTTTGGGTGCCACACGCTAAGCAGCACAGCACTGGTGCCCAAGCTGCTCTGACAAGGCAGGGTGTGCAAACCCACATATCTGCCTAAACCCAGACAGCTTTATTTAACAAATATCACTTCAGCTCAGTCTCTAGCTGGAAAAAACAACAGCATGTAAGAAAACATGAAAACACCTTAAGAAACCAAAAATAATTTTGTAAACCTACATAACCAATGACTGATGCTGCCCTTTGGAACAGCACCAGATAGGGCTGGCAGAATTCACTGAACTCTGTAAAATAAACGCCAGCGCAAGCCACTTTGTGAGCACCCAACACAGACAGCTGCAGAGCAATGCAATGAACCCCCACGCTCGGGTTTAGGCTCCCCCAGGGGACAGGACCAGTCACAATCTGAGGCTTTTGTTCCAGCTGCTCCTGAAACCACCCCAAGCCCTCCACCTAAATCAGCTCACTTTTACCTGGATCCGGTGCCTTGATGGTTAAAGCCAAAAGTGAGGAAGCAGAATGGGACATCTAACAGCCCTAATTATGGTGCTCTTGGCTCCCAGAGCCCAGATAGCATCTTTGTAATTTAGCTGGTGCAATTAAAAATTTCTGATGTCAGCAAAAGTCTACTCAAGCCTAACCTGAAGCTGAAATGTTTGGGTTTTCCTTTTTTTATTTGATCAATCACCTGAAACTTTACTTTCATTACTGAAAACTGTAAATTAAAAAAAAATAATTAAAATCTTAAAAGTGTTATTATATATGAAAATGATACAACCACCCACCTGAAACCCACCCCTGCCCCCAGTTAAAACCTGCCAGGGTGCTGGCTCCTGCTCTCCATGAAACCAAGCACCCCAAGCAGCTTCCTGAGCCTCCCCTAACCCAGCCCTGCCACTGCACATTGCCCCTGGGCAGCCCCAGAGCACTGCTCCAAGCTGCTTTTTCTAACAGCTTTGCAAAGTTCTTAGGCTCACACTTGTATTTTTCCACAGTCTATCAGCACTTTTCCATCTTGCATAATCATCATCCACACAATTGGCTCTCCTCTGTCAACCTGGACAGCAGAGAAGTCATTCTGTGTTCCTCAGGACAGCTCCTCTCAGTGCAGAAACCTTCCCCCTTTGCAATGGAGTCATTAAAATCCTTCTAAATAAAGCTATTGTTGAAGGCTGAAAATGCACCTTTCTCTACGGATGGGTGTGGAGTTTAATTTTGTTGGATCTTCACTCAAAACCAAAATTACAATGAGCTGCTGAAAAATACATTTGTCCAAGAAAGGGCCTTGGGGGCTCTACAATATTTCAAGTGGAAACATGGCAATTATCCTCTTCTATTTAAAAATTTAACTATTTATGAGTTGATAGGCCAACAACAACAACAACAAAGATCAAGGTACAAAATGATTGAAAATTCACAGCATCTTCAAAGATTTAAAAGGAAAAATTCATTGTGCTATAACATGAGACAGTTACTACCACCGCTTCCACTGTTTTCTCCTGGGATTTCCTACAGCAGTGAGAACTGGGCCAGAAACCCAGAAAGCACACACAGACCTTTGCACAGCTCTCCTTTCAAACGGTTCTTAAACTGAAACATAACCACTTGCAAAAGAATGGATGGAAATCTACCTCAAGAGAAGTTAATGTAATTAATGTGTGTTACACTGCTATTAATCACCCACCTCCCCCATGTCTCCAGTTTCTGTCTTCTTACATCCCACTATAGGTATTTTAACATAAACCACTTTGTTTCGTACCAAAAGTGGAGCCCAGGGACAGGACTGTTACCTTGAAACACTTAGGAAAGTCAGACCAAGAAAAGCAAAGCAGGAAAAAAGAACACAGAGCAGTTCCAGTTGTTCTTTCTGGAGCAGAATCTAATCCTTTAAGAGACATTTTTTTGGTGCAGAGTTGAAGTGCTGGAAGTGTGCTGTGAGCTACTCAGACATTTTCATGTTTAGTGACTATTGGGGTTCCTGCCAGCAAACTGAACTGCAGCTCTCTGTCAAGCTCTGTTTAGAATTCATCCAAGATAAGGTTTCAGGATTTACATTTAAAATACCTATTTGTAAAGGGAATAACTCACAGAACAAAATTATTCAGTGTTGAAAAATTCGGCTAAGAAAAGATTTGGAGAAGCTAAAAAACTGCAAATGCTCTTTTCATTTAATCTTCTTAGATCATTGCTAATAACCTTATAAAATAACACCGGATTTTATTTTGTCCCTTAAAATCTAACCAGGAATTTGACCAAGCCATTGACAAAGTTGAACACAGCTGAGCACACACACACACTCACACAAAGGACCTCCTCAGGATCCGCCTGATCTCAAGGAGTTAGAAAACCCTAAATGTTAATGAACTGAGTTGACTTTCCACCGAAACTCATCCCGTCCTGCTCTGAAGCTGAAATTCCAAAGGTCCCTTCTTCACCTACACCTCTGCTCCATGGCTGGCTGGGGTCAGCAGCCAGCACAGCTCCATTCAGTTGCAAAACGCCTGACTGGTGGAACTCGTTTTTTTGGCCATTGTTCACAACCAGGGCTCCTCTGGTGCCTCCACAGCCTCGGGGAAGGGGAGAAAAGCAAGG